GGGAGGTTCTGCTATTGCAGATGAGCAATGGGGTCTTCTCCAGCCACCTTTCTGCTGATGGTTCCTTGCTACTTCCACAGGAGCAGGAACAGACAAAGACCGTGGTGAAAAGGGGTTGGGGATGGAAGAATGCCAGGGTCCTGGGACATGGCTTTAAAAGCTCTGCTGTCCAAGACTTCCAAGAGAAAAACGAAATCTGTAGAAGGCAGGCAACTTAAAAATCAAATTTGTATGCTTTTTCTGTGCCTTGCAGAGCACTTCACCTCTCTCTTAGAGGATGTTCCGTTTCACAGGCATCATCAGTGGACCACAGGAAAAGATTGTAGAGATAGAGGTGATGGGGAACCCCCAGCATGCTCCAAGCAAGCACAAACCACACTCACATTCTCCACTAAGAAAGTCTCTCAAGAACTGCTCAAAGGACACAGGGTCCTCATAGCTGTTGCACATCTGGCAGAAGTAGAAGTAGGAGACAATGACATCTCGAGGATCCCGTAGGGTGTAGTCAACCTGGGGGAGAGTGCATACAGGAGTAAGATGCTCAGAATAGAGGGAGACAAATTGCAGGCAATGGCACTGGGGTAGATCTGCAAATGGAAGGGTCTGTCAAAGGAGGATCAATTCAGTGCACGACTCAATAATGTAGATCTCAGGCAAGGGTTGAGGAATACGTAGGCTCCCTAGAGCCACTGGAGATTCCCAGAATATCCAAAGGTGCAGATGTGAGATGGGGGCAATGATCCTCCCAAGCTCCCCTTCAGACACTGCATGAACACCCACCCCACAAAGGCATATACAGGAGATATGTTGGATATACCTTGGATTCTATGATCCCACCTTGGCAGTGGAATGGGAGAAAGACTTGGGGAAGATGTGCCTGGGTAGGTGGCAGGTCAGCAGGCGAGGTGAGGGGTAGCTGAGGGCTGCCTCCAAACCCAGGCGGGTTGAGAACCAAGGCATGCGGTCAGAATTGAGGACAGTTTGGTTCCAGCTGGGGTGGCCATGGCTGCGAATGAGGCTCAGGATCTCAGTCATCCACACGGTGCCTGCCAGGTACAACAGAAATATAGAGCAAGGGATTTGCCCGGGGCTTCAGGATGCTTGGACCTCAGCAGCAATGCCACCAGCAAGTCTGTTCCCCCTGAAGAAACTGCCTCCTTGCCCATGCACAACCACTGTGCTATAAATATATACGTACATATATCTATCACCCAAAACATTCCTGTTCCCATCACAAGAGAAGATTCACCTTCTGAACAACAACTGAACTGCTCCCAAAACCCCACAGACCTTCTGCCATAGATCTCCCCACAAAACCTATCCAGAACAACTCTCCCAGCCTCTCTGTCCTCCCTTGGGCATCCCGTGGTACCAGATTTAGGGTAGGTGATGTTGAAGACGTCATCGTCCCGCACCAGGAACTCGTTGTGGGCAAAACTCAAGCTGTGCACGGAGTTGTAGGCAGGAGGGAATTTAATGCCTTTGTACGTCACGTAGTGCATCGGCATCGTGCTTGGATGGCAATTGGGTGCTGCAGCTCTGCAGGCCTATAACAGGGAGAGAGAGGGATAGGGCACTGAACTCCAGATAGGAAATTTCTTCCTGCATAACCATTCCCCAAGAGGAGAAATTCCATCTCCCAAACATCAGAAGAGCTCTGTGTTACACAACAACACGCTCAGATATTCTCTAATCCTTCCTTATGGGGATCCACATGAATGACTACTTGTTCATAGGACATTTAAGGAGCCCTCAGGCTAAATTTCTGTTAAGGGATCAACTTCAACTCCTCCTCCCTTATTGCCCCATGTGTTTACCTGCCCTCACAGCTGGGATGGGTGCATAGAAGCTATCTTAAGAAGAGCCTGGACAACCAGGGAGACAAGAGGCAGTTGGAAACCCAAATTCTCAGTTTTCTACACAAAATACAGCTCTTCTTCCAGAAGCTCAGAGAGAATCAAAAGTGGAGGGAAATGGTTTCTTTGTTGCACCATTCTAGAGCAATGATTAACGAGATCCAAAGTCCAACAGCCACCCCTTTCCTGTAAATCAGTGAGCAGTGCTAGTCCCGTGTGTTCTCTGCTCCAAACCCACTGCAAGAACCACACTTTTCTTCTGTGCCCTTATGTTTTCCCATGGACTCTCCATTTTCCTTCAAAAATATATATTAAAAAAACAAAAAAAAAAAAAACAACAAAAAAAAGCATTAATGGCTTCCTCCTGCAGCATCTGCATTTCTTACCATTTATACATCGCACAGCTGCTCTGAAAAGCCCACAAGCACTTGAGCCTCCCTATTCTCATGAGCTGAAGATTATTTCTCTTTTGTCAAATGAGAAACCTTTGGAACGACATTAAAGTGAGAGGAAGAGAAGTTCTTCCCCAGTGCAGCATTTTATGTTCTCTGTAGATCATTAAACAGACAGTAGTGTTTAATGCCATCAATTAGAAGCAAGCAAAATGCAAGCAATACTTCTTGTAAAATGGCAGCCATGTGGTCATATGTTAAATTAAAAGTATTTTCTAAATGGAAGGGATGCAGTAAGTTCTTCCTTGAAAATGAAAGTACTTTGACAACTGTGTGTAACACAATGCGCTGATTAAGTAGATCAAAAAGTAAATAAAACACATAATGCATGTCAAAAATGTTTGAGTAGTTTTGTTTTCGAAGCAAACGGGGGAAAATGGGATTAAGAAATGTTTAAACACTTCACAGAGGAATGTTAACCAACCACAGGTACAGTGGGACCAATAAATTCACTTAACCCATTTGTTGCTTGCAGTTGAGACACAAGTTCAACTAAACTGAAAGCTACAAGGAAAGCCACAAAACATTACCAAGAATTGTTTTTGTCTTGCAGTCCAAGGGAGACTCCACATCTTTACCTGAAGATCTGGCTGTCCTTTTATAATTGGTGGCTAATTAACAACTGTAGGCTTGCTTATCTCCAAAGAGAAACTATGTTAGTCTAAATGATCATTAAAAAATTGGGCAATTTGTTTGCTTGTAAGAATATTCATAGAATCACAGAATGGCCTGGGTTGAAAAGGACCACAATGATCATCAAGTTCCTCAGTGGAAGGCCTCAGTGTCCTTGTATTGAGGTGCCCAAAACTGAACACAGCACTCAAGTGTGGCTGAGTACAGAGGGATGATCACTTCCCTGCTCCTGCTGAAAGCACTATTTCTGATGGAAGCCAGGATGCTACTGTTCTTCTTGGCCACCCTGGCACACTGCTGTCTCATGTTCAGCCAATGTTGACCAATTCCCCCCATGTCCATTTCTTCCACATAGTCTTACAGCCACTCTACCCCAAGCCTGTAGCACTGCCTGTGGTTGTTGTGGCCAAAGTGCAGGACCTGGCACTTGGTCTTGTTGAACATCATCCCACTGGCCACAGCCCAGCTATGCAGCCTGACCAGGTACATCTGTAGGGCTTCCTATCCTCAGGCAGATCAACACTTCCTTCCACCTGGGTGTCATCTGTAAAATTACCAAGGGTGCACTCATGGCAACTCATGGTGTCATCTGCAAGCTTACTAAGGGTGCACCTAGTGGCCTCATCTAGGGCATCAATAAAGACACTGAACAAGGCAGTTTCCAGTACTGACCCCTGAGTTATGCTTTGCCTATTGACAAACTCCACACAAAGAGCCAGGTCAACCTTCGAATCACCTGCAAACAATCAAGCTCACACTTCCCTGCACATATTCTTGTGCTGGGGAGACTGACATTTTGTATTTGCAAAGACATACGTGAGTTTGGTGATTATGCATGTTATCGGTTTATCCTAAATCTTGACACTTTGGCATGTGAGTGACTACGAACCAAATACATCCTTTCTTACCCAGGTACATGCTGCTGGCTGTGTTTTAGATGCAGGAAGCAGCTCAAACTGCTTTCAAAACTTACAAAAAGAAACTTTTTGCAATCTGCTCAGTCCCTTGTTTAGCAGTACCTTTGCCTTCACCTGAAAATAAGAATTGGAAACAGGGCATTGCAGCAAGTTTCCAGTTTCCCAGGGCATACAGAGCAGGAGCCTCTGCTGAAATGTCATTTCTCATGGAGATGCATCTAAAATGGAGATCCACTGCTCATGTATTCCTGCAACAGCTGCTACTGCAGAAAAGTAATGCATTAAGCAGCTGAATTGTCCCAGTCGGTTTGCCAGATGTTCTTTCTCCAAACCTTAAGTGGTTTGCATTCAAGACAAACTTGTCAGGAATCAGAATCCTATTTCAAATTTGTCAGGAGTCAAATGGGATGTTGAAAGAAGTTGTAGCCACAGGATGGCACCATCAGCCCAACAAGGGACATGGGATGCACGGGATGTGTCCTGCTGTATTGCTGCAGCTCAGAGATTTGGGAACTGTGGCACCAGCCCCACAACCCCTGACCAAGGGTTTGGGTTTCTCTGTGGAAGAGAAAAAGGGGTCAGACAATCTAGGACCAAAGACCTTTCCAGGAAAGGAGTATAAGGAGCAGTGTTTGCTTCTAAATCCCTCCGATTCTTGTAACTCATTTTCTTGCTTTTGTCCCAAATACTTTTTTTTTTTTTTTTCCTAAATTATCCAAGCCATGCAGCAGACTCACAGCTCGCAGAGATGAGAAATAACAACATTGCACAGAATTCCAAAGAAAATACGGAGTGGTCATGCTGCCCTGCTGTGCGTTAATGCACAACCAACCTGCTCATGGCATAGCCAGGCAGGTCCAACCTGCAGTCCAGCACAACTCGCTATGGGGCCACCCCCAGCCCCACACCATCATGGCAGTGGATCTTTCCCACCTCGGGTACCCATCACTCAGCACCAACCGAACAGTGCTGTGCTATTAAGGCTGTCAAGGCTGAAACCTGGGCACGGAGATCCTGACAAAAGAATCTGAGAACAGGCTTCAAGATTGCCAAAAAGATCATCAATATTTTGTACATTTGCAACTCCATTTTCAGTTGATATAAATACATCACATGAGTATTTTCTAATGGATTGTGCAGAGCTGAAATCAGGCATTCAACTCAAAAATATGATCACACCTTCTTACCAGATTGTTATAAGAGAGAAATATCCCCTGATTCACTGTAGTGTCTTATTCATGCCACCACTTCTGGCAGTATGCACACTTGGGAGAAACTGCTGTCAAGGATGAAGGACAGGAAGAGTAACATTTCACCAAAAATCTCTGATGAGCACCATGAGAATTCATTGAGAATGGATACTTCTATTGAACCAGACTGATAATGTAAGTGTCACAAACACAAGGTCAAATATCCCACTAGTTTCATGTCTTGCTTTTTTTTTTTTTTTTTTTACTGTTTTAATGAAAAAAAATAGAAATTAAAATAAATTCCGTTACTTATATATTTTAACTGTATTCCATATAAGAGTTGCTCCAAAAGTAATGCCTCCCATTTTAGTATGTTGGCCCACAATGTTAAAAGCAGATGTTGGTGGGATGGCAATAGAGGTTGTTTCCCACCAATATTCTGCTAAATGTTGTTGCTGTGTGACAGATGGCAGCAGAGGGGGAGTCCAACAGAATGGCACCTGACATACAAAGGGCTGAAATTTAATTTCTCCATTGGAAAAAAAAAAAAAAAGGCACTCATTGACATTAACCAACACTTGCTGAATGTTGCTGAATGTTTATGGAGACCAACTGGTGGGTGTGAGCACAGAGAGGTGGTGGTGGTGCCTTTCAGCAGTGATGACAGTGACAGTGGTCACATCCACTTGTGCAGATTTTTATAAGCATGGCATGCGGGCTCTTGTTGATCATTAGTGAAAATGCATAGCTAGTGGTAGTGGCTATCTCGAAAAATAGCGACTTTTAGCTGAGAACTTGCCCTACCAAACAGTGTTATTAAGTTGTCATTTCCATGGAAATATATAGGAAGCATTACTTTGAAAGCAACCTTTGTTTATGAGGCCCAGTACAATTCCTCTTCGCTCAACATGGCCCAGGCAAGCTAAAAGGTTGGACACCTTCATGTAAAGCACAGCCCCTGTTCAATACCTCAACCTGCACAACTGCAAAATTCTTGCACTGATTTTCTGCTTCTCATCCCCTCTGAAATGTCTTGGATGCATCCTTTCCCCAAAGCTTCAGCAGTTTCTCCCCAGCAAATGCAAGAGCTGTGCTGTTATGAAGTATTATCCTTTGCTATCTTGATGTATTTTGGCTCCAGCATTCAAGGCCGTTTTACATAGTGAGAGGAAAACTCATCTACTAGGGAACACAATGCTATTAGAACAAGCTATTGAGCTGTGACTCCAGCAGTCTCTGCAGTGATTGGTCCAAGAATGGAAACTGTTTTCTACTTTTTTTTTTTTATTTTTTTTTTAAAGGCTTGGCATAGCTCCACCCCATCCTACACATAACAGAAAATACTCTGGGGCTTCCAGCTGCATGCTGCAAGCACTGAGGTGAGCTGTGCAGTGGGCTTGTGGAATGGCTGAGATGCTCCCATGCATGCTGAGCAGTCGTGAGTAATTATACTTAATTTTGCTTTGATTTTTATGGATACACATATATATTATACATATATATATGCATACTTACATACATTTATATATATATATAAGTTTTCTTACCCTTTGCTAAGTTTTGTTACATTTTTCTCCCACTTCATCCTGATGTTCTTTGCAGGGAATGTAGGTTTTCTATCCTCAATATAAAAAGAAGTCATCCCAAATATGCAGGAAATGCATTTCAATCCCCTCCAGAAGCAAAGGTGCTAAAGAAGAGGCCAAGGCAGCCAGGCTCCATCCATTCCCCTTCACTTTGCATTGTCTGATAGCCAAAGGGAAGGCTTCCATTGAAACTGTGTGTGTGCCACTTCAGTGGAAAACTATGGGAAACAGAGTTCTCCCAGCAAGAGCTAAATTGATACCTAAATTTTTAGGGGAATAGAGAAGGAAAAAGGAAAATATTCGAGTGAAAAAAAAATTAAATTAAAAAAAGAGAAATGGAGTATAAGTGGATGTTTGTAAATATATAAAAGTATTAAAAAAAAAAAAAAAAAAAGATTATATTGAGGCGGTGATAGATGGAGATTTGCAAGGACAGCTGATGGTAACCTGAGCAGCTTCATCAGAGCTGTGCAAACATTGACTCTTTGTTTGAAAGCAAACACAAGGACTGGTTTCCTCATTCACTTCTTGCAGGGAAAGTAGTCAGAAACTGGACTGGGAAATACAGCCTGCCTTGGATGGCTGCAACTGCTTTGTTCTCCTGCTTTTTCATCGTAGGACCCGTACAGGTCTGTTGCCTTAATGCCTTATCTAGCAAGGATGGGGAAGAGAAATGAATAGGAATGGGCAATAAAACTCGTCAGTTGAGATAGAGGTTAGCAGGTAAAGCCAAAGCTGCATGTGCAAGCAAAGCACAATATGGAATTAGTTCATTCCTTCTCACCAGCAGGCAGATTTTCAGTTATTTCCAGGACTCCATCCTGCACAATGTTTAATAGAGAAGACAAACACTGTAATTTTAAATGTTCCTCCCTTCCTCCTTTTCTTCATCCGTCATTGCTGAGCTCATCATATAGTATAGAATATCTCCTTGAACCATTTGGGTTCATCTGTCCCACCCAGTTCCTGCAGTATCAGAGGCTGGAGAGTCCTTGGCTCTGTGCAAGCAGTGCTCTGCAACGACGACATCTGTGTGCTTTCATTCCATTGTTTTCATCATAAATCCAAACACTAGCATGACAGCAGCTGCTGGGAAGGAAATTAACTCTGTCCCCACCAGAAGCAGTGCAGGGTGCATCTCACAGCTTGGGCAACACCTCCTGCTTCACTTTGTCTGCCTGCCCTCAGTGTGATTGGATGCTCAGTGCAGAGCAAGGCAGATCCAGGAAATTCCAGCCATAGCAGGCTGAGATGGCCTGGGATTTCCCAACCACCAGCACATCCTATGGGACATGATGTGGGATTTTGAGAATTCCCCTCTGGACCAAGCTCCTTGGGGTATCTAAGGTTAATAGAGAGCTGGATTGTCTCATCAACTTCTTTCACTGCTCCAGTAAGAAATCAGCAAACCTCCTTGCTTCTACTCGTCTCATCTGTTGTGATTTTGGAAGACTGATGTGACAACTGGCTTCAGTGAGGCTTGGCTCCAAGCTGCTCTCTTCCCAAATGACCAGAGACCTGCACTCCAGATGAACAAGATCCCCAGGTCCTATTACATTTCTCTCTCTGGCTTTCCAGTGTCTCCAAGCTCTCCTTCCACTCCATCTTCCAGCATCCTGTCCTCATAGAGAAGTGCAGTGACCTCAAGCAGATCCTCCTTAGCACACCCCAATCCTGGAGCGCAGGAATTGAGATCACCAAGAAGACAGGTGAGACCATCCACAATCCCAGGTCTATATGGTAGCCACCAGGCCTTATCTTGAGGAGGTCCCTGAACTATGGGCATGAATTTGAGAGCAGAAAAAAAAGGTGTGCATGGAGTGCTGGCAGATGAAGAAGGTCCATAAAAGCTGCAGTGAGCACAAGGGAAGCAGAATGGAGGTAGGGGAATCCATATCCTGGGCTGGTGCCAATGGGAAGCAACGCAGCCTTGTTGTGAACTTCTTGGGGGAAAAAAAAAAAAAAAAAAAAAAAAAACAGGGCTGGACAAATGCCATGGTTCTTCAAGGCTTATTTACACAAGAAAAAGGAGACTCCATGAGCTCCCACCACAATTTTTGCTGTAGTGTCTGGGATCACAGAATTACAGAAGGTTTAAGACTGAAAGGAACTTTTTGTCTAGGGCAAAGTGGAATGGATTTTAAATAAAAGAAGGGAAATTTTGGTTAGATATTAGGAGGAAATTCTTTATTGATGAGGCACAAGATCAGGCTACCCAGAGAAGCTGTGGATGCAGCCTCACCTCAAGCACTGTTTGTGCCGTTTTGGTTTCCACCATTTAAGGATATAAAACTGTTAGAGTGCCCAAAGGTGGGCTATGAAGTTGGGGAAAGGTTGGGAGAAGTACAAGGAGCCATTGAGGTCTCTTGGTTTGCTGGGCCCAAAGAAGGGGGGACTAACAGAGACCTCATGGCAGCCTACAACTTCCAGCACGGTCCTTGGAGGCTTTCTAACCACCTCCAGATCCTGCATTCAGCCTGCTGACTCGGCACCACGTAGGGATGGGAAGAAATCCCTTTTGTGGTGCCTGACTCCTCCTCTGGGGGCTGTGCAGGTCCCACGCGGTCTGAGTGCATCCCAAATCACAAAACCACACACTCAGCCATGCCAAGCAAAGTTGGATCAGGAATGATATAAGAACAACGTGGCCAAAGAAGGGGGGAAAAAAGGACTGGAAGCCACGACACAGCAGCTGCTGAAGTTTACCGCTTTGCTCCCGCCCCGTCAGCGCGCTATTTACGCATGCGCCGCCCCGCGTACCGCACAAGTCGTGCGCATGCGCCCTACCCATATCGGCTCACGCTACGTTACGCTCTCCGCTACCGGAAGTGGCGTCACGCTCGGCGCAGCGCGGCCGGAAGTTGGCACGGGGGAGAAGGCGCCGTGCAGCGGCGCCGGGCGGATGTGAGGGGGGGGGCGGCGGTGGGGCCCGGCTGGGGTGAGTCCTGAGGGAATGGCTTTAAACTATAAAATTTATACTGGGAGGGTCCGGTTGTAACGTCGGGGTGGGAGCATTGAGGTGAGAGGGGCAGCGTTGATATTAGGTACAAACTGGGCGGGTCTGGTTGTAACGGGGAGGGGGTGAGATGAGGGTCCATGTTGGTGCTGCGGGGTTGGGGCGTACGGGGACGGTCTGGCTGTAATGGGATGGGGATGGCGATGAGCTGAGGGCCCGTGGTGGTACTGGGGGAGGAGTGGGACATACAGGGGCGGCATGATTGTAATGAGATGGGGGTGGGGATAACGATGGGATGAGGACCCGCGTTGGTACTGGGGGTTGTCACGGCTCCGTCAGACCGGGGTGTGTGAGATTTCAAAGTCACTCCTAGCTAAACGGAGGTGAAATGACGGCAAGCAGTCGGTTAAATGTTTATATGTATCCCAGTGTGATACTTAGCACAAGATGCAGAGGTTGTGTGGACATATATGAGTTTTTACTCATCGCTGTTAGAATCACAGAATCATTCAGGTTGGAAGAGACCTTAAAGATCATCGAGTCCAACCATGACCTAACCATACTACCCTAACTCTAACAACGCTCTGCTAAATCATGTCCCTGAGCACCATGTCCAAACAGTTTTTAAACGCATCCAGGGATGCTGAGGGAGCTGGGATTGTTTAGTCTGGAGAAGAGGAGGCTCAGGGGAGACCTCATTGCACTATACAACTTCCTGAAGGGAGGTTGTGATGAGAAGGGGTTTGGCCTCTTCTCCCAGACAAGGAACAGGACCTGGGGAAGTGGCCGCGAGTTGTACCAGAGGAGGTTTAGGTTGGACTTAAGGAAGAACATCTTCTCTCAGAGTGGTCGGGCACTGCAGTGGCTGCACAGGGAGGTGGTGGAGTTGTTCAAGAGGCGTCTGGACAAGGAGCTGCGAGATCTGGTTTAGTGTTGGTGGTAGCAGTGGCAGTGTGAAGACGGTTGGACCAGATGATCTTATAGGTCATTTCCAACCTTGTGATTCTATGATTCCTATGATGGTGACTCAACCACCTCCCTGGGCAGCCCATTCCAGTGCTTAACAACCATTTCTGTAAAGAAGTTTATCCTGATATCCAACCTAAACTTATCCTGGTGCAACTTAAGGCCATTTCCCCTTGTCCTGTTAAAAGATGTACTCTCTACATTCCAAAAATAGATGCTTACTTACACTAACACTAACTGTATATTTTTAAAAAATTCAACCCTTCTGGTGCACAGAAGAATTGAATGAAATGCACTAGTTGCAAATGACATCAACTCTGAGCACCAGTCACAGGAGGTAGTGATAGGGAAAGAAGTAATAGCCTCGAGTTGTGCCAAAGGAGGTTCAGGTTGGAAATTAGGAAAAATTTATTCTCAGAAAGAGTGGTTAGGCATTGAAACAGGCTGCTCAGAGAGGAGTGGAATCACTGTTCTTGATGTTCAAGAAAAGGGTACATATGGCACTTAAGGACATGTATAGTGGATATGTTGGTGATGGGTTGATGGCTGTACTAGATTATCTTAGAAGTTTGTTACAACCTCAATGATTCTATGAAAACCCTTGGCCACAGTAACAGGATTTGGACGAAGGTGTCTTGGTTCTGAGTACCACACTTGAATCTTTTGATTATACACAGCATGGTTTTGTGTGACATTTTATGACAGAAGTGAATGCTCGCTTCCAGTTCCACTGAGTGATACAAATACTGACCTACCAGCAGAACTCTTGCAAGGGAAGCTGGAATAGAAGAAATATAGGATGTTACTGTGAGTCTAATTGGTTCACTAAGTATGGGGATTCATGTCGGCAAGACATCAGACAAGAGATGACACACTGAGAGCACTGCTACAGGTCATCATTGTTGTCAGCCTCCCAAGCCCTGCTGCCAGTGGGTTTTCCCTTTCTCAGTGCCTGCAGTTTCTGGAATCCAGAGATCACATAAGGGAAGAAAAAGTGAATATACACACACACAGACACACACACACATATATGTTCCAGGAGGGGAATCAACTCTTTGAAAGGGTAGATAACTGCAGGACAAGGGGAAATGGTTTTAAGTTGAGGGAGGGGAGATTTTGGTTGGACGTAAGGGGGAAATTCTTTACAGAGAGAGTGGTGAGGTACTGGAACAGGCTGCCCAGAGAGGTTGTGGATGCCCCGTCCCTGGAAGTGTTCAAGGCCAGATTGGATGTGGCCCTGGGCAGCCTGGTATAGCATTAAAAGAGGAGGTTGGTGGCCCTGCATGTGGCAGGGGGGTTGGAGATTCATGATCCTTGAGGTCCCTTTCAAGCCCGGCCATTCTGTGATTCTGTGATTCTGTACTGGGAAAAATATAATTATTTGGACAAGTATTGAGGAAGTATAACAGCACAGTTGGGATTTCCCTCCTCCCCTCATCCATACTCATGACAGCGAGTTGTTGTCCAGGCTGATTACCTAGGCTTCTGCAATAATCAGTGGAATGATGCATATCCCTCCCATCCAAGATATGATGAATTGCAACATGGACAGCTCTGATTATGGGGTTCTGCAAAGAAGTGCTTTTGAGATGGAAACCTGTGCAAAGTGGTTACTGCTTCATCTGGGGTTTGGATAGATGCTGAAGCAAACCCTGAAAGGGAGAGCAGAGCCTGCCAAGATCTATTTGTCCTGGGAAGTCAGGAGAAGGGAACTTTGTATGCACTGTGGAGGTCAGCAGCAAAGAAGGGCTCAGTGCGAACAGCAATTTCTGCTCCTAAATGTGGCAGGCTGGCAAGGTCCCAAGCAATGATTAAAAGCCTGAGGCAAGGGCAGCATTGCTGACACCACAAGTGGCATTAGCATTATAGACCATTTTTCCACTTTCTTTCAGATATTTTTAAGATTTCCAGTTCTGCTCCCATCTCTGACACGTGGAAACCTACAGATCCTATGAATCTACATAACAGAAGCAAGGGCAGGGAACCCGGCTGTGTGCAGTTTTCTTATAAGGGTTGGGACTCAATGAGGCACTTGGGGTGTCCGATAGGGGCAGCACCCAAATGTCCAGCTGTGGATGTCCAAGATTGCAGAGAGAGGATCTGAGCATCCACACTGAGCTGTCAGATATGGATGACTAATTGCAGGCATCTAACCTAGAGAAGGAGGATTCAGCTCACTGCAGACATCACCAGCTGCATTTCACTTCCTTGCAATGTCACATTTGCTTTGTGCCATAGGAAAAAAAAAGCAGTAATGGCAGAGGAGAACAACTGGCAAAAGATAAAATCAAAGAGAAAAGAACTCCACTTACCCCAAAGACATGGCAGGAGGATGAACCTCATGTTGGTCACAGAGAGCATTGCAGAGAGGAAGCAGGACATGTACCCAAGAAATGGGGTATTTGAAATTCCTCACAGCCCTGGCTCCTCCCCTCCATCCCAAAACCTCCCTTCATTTTCCCTGGCTCAGCAACTAGGCGAAGCCAAACCTCTGCCAGGAATCTTGTGCCATTACCAGTAGTCTACGTGATGTAGGCTGTAAGATTGTGAAATTGAACTGTTTCGGGAATCTGATAAGCAAACAAGTCCTCTCAGCTCAGCTGATTCTGGACCGTCCGTGGGGGAATGGGGACACACAGGGATTTTGTGGCTGGAATAGAGTACTAGTTCCTAGGTGTAGCTAGAAAAAGGAATTTGGTCCCTCAGCACCACACAGAGAAACCTTTTTCGTGGTGGTGAATGCAGAAGTTAATTTTCCTGATCTTGGAGATGCCAGGAAGGCAAGCAAGAGGCTCCCACAGCATCACTCAGAATCACAGGGATTGTGAGGGACACTAAAGCCTTCTTGCTAATGCAGCTTCCATGAGGTATACTGAACATGAAAGTGTAATGCAGATTTTGAATATCACCAGAGAAGAAGACTCCACCACCTCTCTGTTGAACTTGTTCCAGTGCTCTTTCACCCTCAAAGTGAAGAGTCTTTCCTTTGTGTTCATATGGAGCTTTCTGGATTCAGTCTGTGCCTGTTGACCCTTGTGATGTCCCTGTGAGGTGCTCTAGGCCCCAGTCATCTCTGCTGGACTCTCTGCAGTAGTTCACGGCAGAGTAGAGGGGAAGGAGAACCTCCCTTGCCCTTCTAGCAAAATTCTGTCTAATGTAGCCCAGGATGCCATCGGCCTTCTTGGCTGCAAGAGTACACTGCTGGCTCATGGCCACCAGGACACCTGTCTTACTCTGCTGAGCTTCTTTCCAGCTGGTGAGCCCCTAACCTCTGCCTATATGCCATTATTCCTGCCCAGGTGTAGGACTCTGCACTTGTCCTTGTCAAACCTCATAATATTCCTGTCTGTCCAACCCTTCAGCCTATCCAATTGTCACTGAATGACAGCACAGTTTTTCCCTCCCGGAAAGGGAAAGCAAAGCGGTTTCTGGGGTTGAGGCAACCACAAGCATTTGTGGAAGACAGGAGGGGGACAGCTGGAACTGTGTTGGAGGAGAGACACATCTCTATTTCACCCATCATTTTCCATACGGAGGATGTCCAATCAAGGCTTAGGGTCTAACACAGATTATTATTATTTTTATTGTGATTTGTTGCAGCGTGCTTTGTACCCATTAACACAGCATGAGTGCTTTATCCCATCAAAGCAGGGCGCTAGAGTCTACATCTCAATATTGACACTGTCTCCAACTTGGTCAGCCACGTCAAGCTGTTTTTGTGGGCAGGCAAGATGACAACCTGTATTAATGTCAGCTAGGATACAGTTAACTTTCTTCATAGTGGCTACATTGTGCTCTGCTGTGGATTTTGGATGAGAATAATGTTGGTCACACATCAGTGTTTTAGGTGTCATTGAACTGTGCTTATACAATGCCAAGTACTTTACCTCCTTGACAAGAGGCTGGGGGTGCACAGGGAGAGAGGACAGGACAGAACCAGACAACTGGTCCAAATTGGACAAAGGGATATCTCACATCATACGGTGTCACACTTAACAATTATACTGAGGGGGTAG